AAAAAATCAAATATTAAATGCAATTAATATGTTAAACACATTTTCCACCACCAACAACAACAACAACAACAACAACAACAACAACAACGATAACGACAACAATAACAGCAATTGCAATAATAAAAAAAATTTTATATATAAAAATTATTATAAAAGGAAACCCTCACCGGAAACGACATGTCACAATTTTACTGACACATCAAGTGTTGAGTTACACGATGTTACGTGCCATGCAGTTTGTCGTTAAGACATTTTGTCTCCCCGCCAGCTAGTCACTTAGCCACTTTGTCTCTTCGTCTCTCTCTCTCTCTCTCTTTCTCACTGTATCTCTTTTCGTATGGGTTGTGCTTAATTGTTAGTATGAATGAATTAATGAATGAATGAGTGACTGCATTTAGTTAACACAACACAAAGCAACATTGAAATACCAACGCAATATTGGCAACACTCTTATATCTTCCACACACACACACATACAGACATACAGCAAAGTATGCTTAGTTCGCTTTTTAATGGCGAGGCGATAACAAAAAAATGGCGGTGGTGGAAATATTGTCGTTGGCAGTGATCATGTCAAGATGATATTAGCCGTTGGCGTCAACTGAGTCGGCTTCACTTTGAGTTCAGTTAATGAAAATTGTCAACGTAAAATTCAAATTAGGCAAAAGCACGTGTGTTTCGTTCATATTTATTCGTTAAGCGCATACCACATATGTTACTTGACGAATGTATGTAAAGTATTTAGTATTTACCAACTATATGCTATAAATTTCTATAATGGAAATTTATGTATGAGTAGAGTATATGAGTAGGGAAAAATTTATTATAGAATTGTGTAACGGTATAACTGCCTGACGAAGTTGTAGGTTGCGTAAAACTTCACAAATATGAACGTGGGCAATCTAGAAAAATGTATACCCCGTATTATGGCATATGAGTGCAAATCTCCAAATGCACATAGTCTAGAGAAAAAAAAAAGCTCATAAATAGTTGCGGGTAGCAGCGAGCGCATATTACAACTAAGAGACGTTAGTAGAAATAAACCTACACGTTGTGCATTTATATGGAAAAATGTAGAGTAAATTTAAATAAAAAAAATAAAAACCCAGACTTAAGAATTTTTCATAAAAAATAATGTTTATATTTTTAATATCTAAATTAAAATAACAAGTTAATCGATATGCGAGGGTGGCTTCTATTTAAGTTAAGCTAGAATGCTTACTTACAATAAAATAATCACATACCAAAATAAATCCAATGTTATGTTAACACTTTTACCAAGGAGGTGCGGCTAAAAATGGACGTCTAATTTAAAACAAACGGTTTGCTAAAAAAATGTGTCTATATACCTGAGATATAAACGTGAAAATGTTATGTATAAGTATTATAATTTTCATATACTGGACTGCAGTGAAAAACCGCCGTGTGACCGAAATACTAATCGTTGCCATATCGATACTCTAGAGCAGAATTGTCAAGACCAAATAAGATCGCGGGTCACTACAACTTACTGTGCAGATTGGAAGGTCGCAGAAACAAGTACATACGTCAATGGTTTTTTTTGGAGAAAAATACAAATATTTTGTTAATTTATTTATAATTAATTTATTTTTTTTAATTCATTCATTTGAATTTATTTTTTTGTGATACTATAAAAGTAAAATAATATAATTTTACCAGATATATCTCAAGGAAAAATTTGTGTATTTGTGGTAAAAAATGTGACATGTCACAGGCCGCACACATTATCCGTGGGCTGCATCATGTGGCCCGTGGGCCTTGCTTTGGACAGCTCTGCTCTAGAGACCCACACAGACATAAGATTGTTGTGAACTGTAGAACGAATTTATAATAACAAATAGAAAGTATTGTAATACATTGAACTATATAGATAAGCTAAATAGGTAGCAATTGCATTCTTTTTGCTCCAAGAAAATAAAACGGAACTATTTACTACGAACTATGTTTCTACACCCGCATATTCAGATGATATATCTGAATATCCATATTTTTAATTTGATATATCTTGATTTTTTAGTTCCGCGTCATTTTGAAATTTAAAAGTAAAGAATTGGTTGCTGAAACAAAGTCATATAAATCATAGACCATTCCCACAAATCATCTATATTGAAGATATATAATTTTATTACAACATATTTGTTGAAATATATTTATTTCAGTTATAAGAAGAAGAATATGGAAATATTGTATGAAATAATAAATTCTTATATGTTAGACCAAAAAATTTTCAGATCCAGATCCGATCCTCGAAACTCCAGCAGAATATATCAGCTAACTCAAAACAGAATTACAATATATTGTATTAATGGAATTAATGTTTTAAGTATTAAATCAAAATTTTTCCAACAAAGGTTAATATCAATTAATACTGCATATAATGTAAATAATAAAAATAATAATTTAATTAAATTTCTGAATAAAATATTAATATGTATCGTGAAAATGTATCAAGGAGTTAACGTACTCATTTGAAGTACATAAGATAATATGATATCACCGCTTTTTATTGTCTAGAAAATGTTTTGTCTACTGGTTTTAAAGCGGAAAAATATTTTAAAATTAACAATAATAAATAAAAAACAAAACATTAATAACAATAAGAATAACAATTCGGTTGTTACTTTTGTTTTTGTTACGCTCAACTACGTGCGAGAGGCGCTTAAATTTTTGTTGTTCTTCCCGTCATCATACACGTACTTATATAGATAGATATTCTTACTTCGGGTGAGTATGACTCCAGTCATCATTGTGTCATAGCCACCTTGCAACACATAAGTCCAATTGTACACGTTCCATTTCCGCTTTGAGTGGCTTTTCTGTTCCTAGCTCGTTTTTTTTTTAAGCCAAACAATTGAATACAGACAGGTACTTCCACGCTTGTCTGGTAAAGTAACTTTAATTTTTTTTTGCTTAGTGAATGCGCAATCTTCCAGAGCTGCTAATATTATAGTCACTTTAAAGCAGAGTGATTTTGCTACAGCGAAGTTCATTATTGCTTGTTTTAGTACCAATTGGAAAAGTTTAAAATAATTTTAAAGACCAAACACTACATTAGTATTGCTTTAAAGACCAAGAACTAAAGAAATACTAATTGATTTCCACATTTTTCTTAGTTTGAATGTTCCTCAAAGAGGAATGGACACATTCGTCGGAGATTTTTATTATACTATATATGTTGTTATAGGACGAAAGCAAGAGATTGAGTGTATTCAGTAAGCAGTCTAAGTTGATTGGTAAGATATGAATGTCCATCTATGTATTCATCTCCAAATTTATAAGATACTATCTTGGTATTGATAGCATGAACTTAAAAAAACAGTAACAACCAGTGGCGTAACTACAGGGAAGCGACTGAAAGCAACGCTTTCGGGCCCCCGAACTTAGGGGGCCCCATTATAAATTTATGTATTCATTATATTTATTTTTAATAAATTCTCAAATGTGGGACAAAACGTTTTTTGTTGAAATAACATAAATTTTGGTTTTTGAACAAGGTTAAATTTGTAGTTTCAAGAAAATCTTTAAAGGATCCTATTCAAGGAAATAGAAGTTTCAATGCTTCATACTATTCATACTATTAAGTTAAAAACAAAATATGGAACAGTGCCACGACTTTGGTTATACTATTTAAAGTTATTGGATTCAGTATATTGTAAGCCGTGCTGGTTATTTTCTAATCAAACAAATCAATGGTGTTCTGGATTTCGGGATTGGTAAAAATTTGTCAGGAAAAATAAAAATACATACAACTATAAGAATTAGTAGCCCAATTTCAATCAAATCAAATGGTGAACAGGGACCGCTTCCGAAAAGTATGTGTGTAAACTTTTATTTGAAGAAGTCAAAAGCTGAGAGAGTAGTTTGAACTAAAAAAGTGTGTATATTCATATACTGATATATACTTTATGGTATTTTCGCCGTTTCCTTTAATGCGTTACGAAAATCTTGACAAGTCTAATATACCCTTTTAACACTTTTTCGTTTAAAGGGTATAAAAAGATGTTAGTAGGAGGTCCTTAGTTAGAATTTGCTTATGGGCCCAAAAAATGTAGTTACGCCACTGAAAGAGATAGTGGAGACAGTAAACATGTGGTTAATAAAATCATTTTAATAAGGTACGCGAAGATGCTACATAAATTGACGCAAAGAAATTTGCGTTACCGAATTACCAGCAGTGAAATATGTTGCTGATGAAACGCACTGAATCAAATAATTTCAAGAGAATCATTGCTTCAAAGAAACAATCAAGGAAAAGCCAACAGGAAATACGTTGTATTCAATCATTACAGATGGAACCCGGAACAAATTGACCAAACTTGGTTATTAGGCTCTGATGCATCCATCATATAATCCAGACATTGCACTATCTGACTACCATTTGTTTCGGCCTCTGCATGACTCTCTTCGGGGTGAAATCATGGACGACCGAAAATTCGCTTAAATCACTTGAACAAGTTTTCCGCCAATATACCCCAGAGGTTCTACACCGACGGAATTACGAAACTATCGGAAAAATGACAAACTGTCAAAAAATATAATGGCCAATATATGTTAATCTTTAGAAAAATTAATTTTCAATTAAGAAGATTGTGGTTTAAAAATATTCCTAAAAACGGCGAATACTTTTTATATCACCAAATATGTACATTGTGCATATATACATACATAAGTAAACTCATTTTATAATTACCTGAAATGTGTGGCTTTATCCAGTTTCAGCAATGCAACATCATAACGGTCTGGTTGAGTCATTCGGAATTGAAAGTACGGGTGAACTATTTTCTCTGTCACATTATGTTTTTCAACTGGTAGTGGTTCATATATGAGACCCATATCTTGAGTGTCCAGTTCACCTAAATACACAATTATATCCTGAAGTTTAACCTGTTGTATGCAATGCGCAGCAGTAGCAACAAATTCATTAGAAATCAAAACGCCACCACATTGGTATTCAGAAACTCTAATATGCGCTTGCCATGGATATTCTGCGAACATCGCTGGTCTACCCCCAATTATACGTTTTTGTAAGGTATTGCGAAATGTTTTGGCTTTACCACACCGATGCTAAAATTTTAATTAGTTAATTTTAATTAAAGTAATAAAAACAAAGTAAATTATACAAGCGCAAATCAAACGTATTACGTGGCATAATTGAATTGCAACTCTTAAAAGTATGGTATTTTATTAATAACAATAGAATTTTATTGAAACAAAAAAAAGCTAGAAATTAATACCTCCCGTGGACCAAATAGGCCGGAGAAGCAAACTTTGTCATCAAACAGGTGCAGCGTGGAATTTCAAGGCGGCGGACGAATCAACAACAGTATGGTCAGCGGCGCCAAGTTTCTAATGGTGTTTCTATTTCAGCGTCTGTTTACCATGTAATGTGCAGCTGAAAGCGGTCGTCGGACTTGTAATAAGCGAATCGCTATATAAACGTGTACCACGTCGGAATATCGCTGGACCATGAACCCATCATTCACCGCCTTTGTGAATCCGCGCGTCAAACCAACGAAATTTCTTCAGCATGGAGTCAAACGAAAACGGAATAACTTGTCTAAGGGGTAATCGCTATTTGTGTAATCCCCCTGCACTCGCTGCAACAGGCACACCGGATTTGGAGGTGCTAAACCCATGCTTTAACAACATCGAATCGTATGGATAGAAAATGCTTAATAGGCATGAAAATAATATCTGTCGCAACATGGAATGTACGCACTTTAAATGAGGCTGGTAAACTCGAACAACTTAGAAGTGAGATAGCTCGCTATAAAATTGACATTTTGGCAAAACAAGAATGTGGAATGGTAATGGCTCGATCAAACACAAAGATAGTTTGTTTATTTATTCAGGCGAACCAGAAGGATCTGCTGATGTTAATAGAGTAGATTTTCTTCTATCATCAAAGATTGCTCTGGAGATATTAGAATGGAATCCAGTCTGCTCAAGAATAATAGTCATTAAACTCAAAACGCGTGCACGTAACATGACCATTGTCAACTAGTATGCTCCCACAAAACTTCAAGACGATAAATGCAAAAACGATTTCTATGATCAGCTTGAAAGGTATATAAATATGTATTCTTGAAACGGAGATATTCTTTTAGTGTTGGAGATTTTAACGCACAGAGATGTGCTTCGAGGCTAATCTGGTAATCGGTAGCTCCCTTTTCGCACACAAAACATCACACAAAGTAACTTGGGTTTCTCCAGGCGGGAGAACAAAGAATTAAATAGACCAACTCTTAATTAATGCTCAATGGAGGTCATCGCTGCTTGACGTTCGTGTGAAGAGGGGTGCTGAGATAGGCACTGATCATTATATTTTATTTACTCGTTATCCTTGCACTCTCTTGACATTTTGAATCTACTGAATCTACTTGAACGTTAAACATTGATCTAAGTTTAAAATTTCAATTTGGTTCAAATCAAATCATTGTGATCAAGCTTTTTGAAATTAAATTTAACGTCCGTTTTGACGAAAGTAACTACATTCTTAATAGGAACTGTTCTTTTCAATAGAGAGGATTTTATCAAACAGTAGTGAAATTGCAACAACAAACATTTTTTTTATATGTTATTATTAATTAATTAATTGAACATTTGGGTGAGCATCCAGCTGTTTCGAGTGTTACCAAATACCCAGAATTTCTTGTATTTAATTATTCTTAAATAATTTTTTGAGACTGCAAGTACCAAGAGTTGAACTTACAGCCTCTCAAATTTGAAACTCAGAGTCAGCGTTCATTAGCTAACTGACCCAAAGCCGTTCTTGGTTTTAATGACCGAACTTGAAGTTTTGTTAATTTGCTTTGAAAGTTCATTAACAAATTTACTTGCTGTCTTTTATTAAAACAAAATCATTAACCATTTATAGAATAATTGAATCAATTAGTCATATTTTTATTTTTAATTTTGAAATTTTAATACTGGTCTCTTTAAGCTTTTTCCGAAAGTACATTGGGCTACGAAATACGAATGATTCGGTTTTGATTGCTTTATTTGAGTTAATTTCATACTTATAAGTTGAACTTAAAAATAGGTTGATTCATACGGTAAAAATATACACTAATACCCCGATTTGCGTTAATTCGAACTATGTCACCAAAAAAAAATAAGTTTTGACTTCGAATTACGTCGGTAGTGTTTCGATTTACGTCGTTTATTATATTTCTTATAGGTTACATTTTTTAAAAGAGGGTTTACATGCATCAAGTTTTTAGTTAAAATGTGTTGGTTTACATGTGTGTAGTGAAGCGAAAACAAATTTTCTTGGAGTAAGAGTTAGACATTTTAAAACGTTTTAAACTTGGAGAAAAACCTGCTGGCATTGGGAAAATTCTGGGTTAAGGTCCCAATTTGTAATCGTGATGCGGACAAGATAAAGGACTATGGACATTTCCCAAAGGAATCACAAAAGCTAGAAGTCCATCAATTATTAAAAAGGGTGCCCCTTTTACCCAGAATCAAAGAAGAATGCCATTGAGCCAAACGTTAATTCAGAATAATGCTTTATCTATATTCAAGGAGTTAGAAGGTAATTCACCATGAACAAGTGGTCAAAAACCAGAATAGTTTTGAAAATTAAATATGTGGAGAAATGTGATTCGATTTGCGTTAGGTCCTAATTAATAATACAAATCGAGGTGTTATTGTACTTAAAACTGATAACTTGTCTACATCTGCACATTAAACTGAAAAGTGCCATTGAGACTACTTAAACGAGTTTATATATCAGCTGTCATCTTTAAATTTTATTTATACCATATACACCTTTGAGTCATACATATAAACATCAAGCTTTAATGCAAGTTCTAAAATGGTTGTACAGAATTTGCATTCATAGTGTGGATGCAAGAATTATACTCTATGTATAAGGAAATAATAATATAAATTCAATAAAATTTCTCTGAGTGTTGATAAGCTAAGAACGGTATTAAAAATTATCAAACCATAAACGCAGTTTAACATTTGAGTATAATATACAATTCAAGTCTCAATAATTTACTGAAATGTATAACTAATTTACTTACTTTTCGAACTATATTTCATTGTATTAAATACGTTCCGAAACTAATTTTTTACAATAATACATAGAACCTAATCCTTAACCTCAATTTTTGAGGCACTTAGAGTAATATCAAAATCATTCACTTTGTCCACGAGAAGACAAAGAATTAAAGAGTAGTTTAATAAAAATTATAACATCCATAAAATCTCACAGTTGAATACGGATTTGGTCAAACGATTCGTTTTCATATTATTTTAATTAATTGAATTTTTCTCTACGTGATAGGCACCTTGTCGTGGTGTAGGGGCTTAGATACAACTTAAGCTACTCTGATTAATGTTCCAGTCAGTGATATTACTGATGTTACTAACTAGAATATTGATTGAGATTAGAGCAAAAAGTGCGACCAAGATCTACCAATAGGTTAAGGTAGAACGTATTGTCTTGTAGTCTATATCTGTGCTGTTAGTAGTTAGTCGGTAGTCGGTAGTAAATAATAATTTGTTAGTATTCTGTAGTAGTTAGTCAGTAGTTAGATTCATGTTTTTGCAAGCTGGTAAGGTCTGAATGGCTTAATAATATTCTAGCGTCTCAGAGAGTAGGTGGCGGTAAAGATCGTCCATTAAGTTCCAGCTTATCAGCCAGTCACGTCAGGGTAAGACAATCTTTCAGACTCATTGCGATAATGCAATTGCCTGCAGACAAGCTAAGAAAACCATGCCGTATCGATCATAAGCCAGAACTAGGGAGCTACTTATGCTGAACAGAAGTGGCATTCGACTTATCAGTGGTTTCTCACTGGGCATTGCGGAGATAAAAAGCATCTATCGAACCTAGGTATTAATAGAGACGATAGATGTAGACTTTGTTGCGAAAAAAAGGAAACAGCAGAACATATTCTGTGTCACTGTAATAGTCACGCCAGATTCAGGCTTTTGTACTTATCCACTGCCTATCCACTTATAACGGAATAAGGCAACATCTCTCCAAAGGATATAATGGCGTTATTAACTGATACTCGTCTATGGAACTGAAGTGGGTATGTCACAATAGTCCCCTCAAAGGATGCAGTGGCGTGGTGACAAGTTCCCAACCCATCTAAACTAATCTAAACTAATGTCATTTTTAAGACGGAAATGACTACAATATTTAATAGAAACTAGTATATTTTATAAAGATGTTTTCGAAAAGTAGTGTATTTCAAATATAAAATTCATTTTTATATTATTTTAATTAAGTGATAGAATGCATTTTTTAATAGACAATTAAAATTGACTAATTTATAATATGTACATAAAAATGTTCAAAATTGAATCTCGTTCAGAATTGAATCCTAAACTATTTTGTATTTTCTGGAATACAGACGTATTAAATGCATATTATTACCATATATTATTATGATAATGTGCAAATTATTATGATTATGGAAAATAAACTTACACTGACCTTCAAACTGAGCCCAAGCTTAATTTTACGTTTTATGACGTTATTCGTTGCGATATTTAAAATATTCTTGGTTTCGATTCGAAAGTTACTAAGAAATGCATTTTCCGGAGAACTCACATTTTCCTCAGTAACGCAACACGAGAAAAACCACTTGTTGGAACCACAGCCAGCAGCATTCTTTCCACCTTGCAGCCAGCAAGAAAATGATAACTTACAAGGCCAAACTTCGTTTCGATATACGCATTGGGCTGGTAAGCTAAGAACGTTATTGAGAATATCTAAACCATAAACTCAGTATTAATGTACGTGTATAATATGAAATTCAGTTCGTCATAATTTACTTGCTTCTGTAAAAATCCAGAACTTTAATACAAAATTGTAATACAACATATTTATACCAACAGGCAAATATTTCCACAGTTGCATGGCTTGATGGTGTGATCTTGCTCCGAATCAAGTGCAAATATACTTTTCATATAAAATTAGCAGTTATTATATTTATTAAAAAAAATATATATATAAGCAGCAATTTCAGGAATTATAAATGTTTAAAACTTGACCGCTTTAAACGCTTTTTATACTTTAAAAGTTTTTTATATATATTTTTTTTAAGATTATTATTATATGCAGTAATTTAAAAAAAAATCAGCAGATTAAAATTAAATATTTTAAAATCAACATTAATAAATGTATAATTTATTTTTCAAAATTGACAATGAATGGCGGTTTGCAATCAAATTTAAATTAAAAAATATTTTAGGTTCATTTCACAAGATTGCCATTTGAAATTAATATATTAAAGTTGTGCTAAATCCAAAATATGTGATGCATAAATATATAAATTTCTGTTATTAAACACTTTATTAATAATTTGTTTAAAATTTTTTCTTCATTTGTTCTCCACTAGAATCACTGTTTGCTTATGTATACAATCATTTAAATCCACTGGAGAAACGGGTTCAGCGAACCTCACTATGTTGATTCTATTATAATACTAAAACTCGTCACTGTTACAAATAGTTTGTTGGTGCTTTGTGGTACATACCAGTCATCTACAAAACACAATTGGTTTCTTACTCAACTGGTTCGTAAAATATCATTAGATGTCAAAGCCATCGCATCCGTTATGAATTGTGGTACCCGTACAGTATGATAATTAAATTTTTCCACAATAAGTTGCCATCGCATGATTACCTAATTTGAATCCATTTCTTACAGTATAAATGCATTCTACCCAGAGGAGATTTAACCTCAATATCTTTTTTTCAGCTCTTAAGATTGTACAATTCAAATGAAGTTTATAGTTTTACTAGCCAGTCTCTGAATGCATATATATTAATTTCTAATTAATTATGTTATTCCATCAATCCATTTTTTGTGGAAGCCTTTTTTTTAGGTAGTAAAATGTCAATAATAATAAGTTAAAAAAATTAAAAAACTTTAACTTTGGATGCATCGAATTAATTTTTTAAAAATATGTTAACTTTCTTATTTTTCAATTTTTTTTATTTTTCAATGCAAAAAAAAAAAAATTAAATAAAAATAATTTGTGTAAAAAATTTTAAAAATTTGCATTTTATATATGTTATATATATAAAATATTATATATATAAAACTCGATATATAAGACTAGATTTTATTTTACAGAACCATATATACTCATCTTATAACGATTATATCGAAAATAAAAAATAGTTAGTTGTTGATATACATAGACTATAACGTACTTGTATATAATGTTTTAGTCCTGCCTATGTAGTCTTATGGTGTCCAACTGTGAAACAATGTTTGTTCATTTAGCATCCAATAGAATTAACGTACGGAATCCGAAGTGTTTCGCTGAATAACTGATGTCTACTGGAACGGAAGAAACGATGCAATCTATAACGACCTTCAGACCCTTCTTGAAAAAGAACTAAACAAGATTTAATGCCGATACAAAATAAAGCTCAAAGAGCATTCTAATTTTTTACTGCAACAATTAATCGAGAGACATATGCCCACACTCAGACTTACGCTTAAACTTATTAATGGAGAAGTACATAGTATATCCAATAATATTAGTAATATTTATAACTTAATAAAGTCAAGTATATAATTATGATTATATTATGTTACATATGCTTTGAATATACACAGGTATATAATAGCAATAATTTTTTCTTTCAGAGTTGTAAAAAAACAGCATTAAGTCTGGTTGAAACAAATTGGCATCACTTTTGAAATATTTCAAATGCTTGTTTTTGACATATGTTTTTTGTTGTGTTGTGTACAATTTAATATATAAAAATTGGACACTAAAAGTTAATTAATTTAAATAAAAGAAAATAAATATTTGAATATTGGAATGGCAATGTTAAACTTTTTTATCTTGAATATTTAAATAAATTAATTTACTTATGTATTTGCGCTTATAAGTAAATGAAATGCTCATATGATTTTAACGGATAACTGGAACTTTTAAACATATTTCCGGTGAACATTCACAATAGACTGATTTTTTAATTTGGTTGCACTGAAACTTAAGACGTAAAATTTCTTACGCGTAAAATCTAACTCTAAAAATTTTAAGAGCATTGTTGTTGCTTCTCATGTTTTCTTTAGAAAGTTGCGAGTATTTTTTTACTTCTTTGAAAGAAAAAATTACAACTAATGTTAATACAATCATTTATAATTATGCTACTTATATGGTATCACTATTAGTAAGATACTAATGTGCATAACATTATCATCTCTTATCTATGTTATGAACATTATCATCTATAGATGATACTAATAATTAACTCTAAATCTTGGTGGTAGATATATTTTTGTACTTATGATTTTTTAAAATTCGCTTAAATATTGTAAACCTTAAATCTTATTGTGAAATAAATAATTTTATAGTTAAAAAAATATTTTACATTCCTCAAAGGGGTGTTCCTTTTTTTTGTAGGATCTACAAAGAGTATTATTGAATATAAATTCATTAATAGTTGCAATTGGTTTTATTTAAATAATTTATATTAAATAATGTAAAGAGGTTTTCAAAAAGTAGTAAACAACAACAACAAAAATTCTTTTTTATATTATTTTAATTAATTGAATTTTTAGTTGACCGCACAGCTGTTTCGAGTATATCTAAATACCCATCATCAGTGGTTTTGGAAATAGTTCTTGCATTTAATTATTCCTTAATAATTTTTTGATACTGCAAATACCAGAAATCGAACTCGTGCCCTGCCAAATTTGAAGCTCAGAGTCAGAGCATCTTAACCAACTGACCCAAAGCCGTACCTGACTTGTATATTCGCACATTTTTCTGGAGTTTTGTTAATTTGCTGTCAAAGTTTTTGTAAAATATTGTAAAAATTATTACAATTATAATTCAACAAAAAAAAGTGTTCATTAATTAAACAATTACAATCTAGTGAAAAGAATACTACAAACGTAAATGCAATTGAAAAATAGAAGTTATATATTTACACACTTCACCAATGTTTTGTTCACTCTTACGGAACAATTTGAGCATTGCAACTGCTTGAAAACACAGAGGTTTGACTTAAACAGTAGTTTTCTATAAAAATTCTTAGGCCTGTCGGAACTTAATACGCCTATTCTTGTTTTATTATTTTTCAGCGTTTTCTGTCTTTTCTTCTAGGTTTTTTTATTTAAGTTGAGCATGAAATGGTTGCGTTATTGCATTGAAGAGATTTTTTTCGTCATTAATATGAATTCAATATAATAGAACGATTTATGTGTAGTATGAAATTTTCAATTTATTATTTTATTGCTTTAGTAAATGATGTTGAAGATTTTATCTCACATACCTATAGTGTTCTCAACTATTGAAGAGTAATTATGAATGTTTTTGAGATAACTGTGTATTACCACTATACTAATGTATTCTTGCCCACTACCAATATGTTTTTTCCTGTAAGTAATTAATAAATACGACATTAAAAAATGTCAAATTGTTAGATTTTCATTCAATTGAAAATAAAAGTTTTTTATGGTAATAGTTATATTATATTATTTTTAATTTTATATGTATCCTTTAACATTTAATAATTTACTTACATAAAACTACATATAAAATTTACTTAAGTTAATATCATAAATTAAGTTAAATATATATTTACAATTCTAAAGATTAAATAGTTTTATAAAATACTTAATTTAATATCGATCAAACAGATTTATAAATTTGCTGTTAGTCCGACAACATATGATATCCAATCGACCGTAAAAGGTACGCGGTGGTAGATACCGGGTTGTCCACGGGAAGCACAGGAATAACCAGCAGATACTACACCTTTATATTAAAAGTTCATATTTTCATATTATTAATTTAGTAAATAGTAAATAAAAATACAAACCAATTAAATACCACCGGCCATTTTTTTCATTCATTAATGGACCACCAGAGTCACCCTGACATGAGTCCTTTCCGCCGTTTCGATATCCAGCACACATCATTTCTGGATATATCACAACATTGATGCCATTTTGTCGATGCCATCTTTCACAAATTCTATGATCGAAATGTTAAAATATGTACTTTAAATAGATGTGACAAATAATATAGATAAATAAATAGATAGGCTGCCCGAACAGAATATTGTTTCAATTTGAAATTTATAGTCGAAAGAATTTTTTTCCAAAATTTTTATTGTAATATACCAATATAAATTCTTCGTTTTAGATTTGAAGTATATACTGAACAAATTTTAGAAACACACTATAATATCACACATATCTTTCATTGAAGTAATTTCAGTTCTGCATATTCCTCAAGTATTTAGAAACACTTTCAAAACGTAATAATAATTTTACGATAAATATTCACTGTTAAAAGAGGAATCGACCTACAGAACTTAATATTCGTAATGTATTTGAAAAATTTTACTCAAATAGTAATTTTTGTAATGTTCAGGATTAAAGTCTTGTTGCTAAAAGTATCTCTCCGGATTGAATAAAAATCGATAACAGTCAGACTACATTCTTCAAAACTTAGATTTTTTTATTGACCCCCACGGATTATTTTTCATTAAGATTTGTATTTCATAGTGTACACAATTAAAACAGATTCTGGTTAAATAACTAAATAACGAATAAACGGAACTATCTCAACTGGAATGAACAGACCCGATATGCTGTTCGTAAATTTTCTTTATATCTGAAGACTTATTTGACTACTATGTATTGGTTTTAAAATGTAAATGGAATTGCAGTTATTTGATTCTGAAAATATGGACACCAATATTACACCAAATAACTTACAGAATATTTCTTAGTTATGAAAGTTCGGAGTTATATTGGTTTACTCCAATAACAGCAAACACTCACTGACCCAACAACTAATATTAGAAACATAACTAACATGAAATCATTTTTATAAACTATCATGAAGTAATGTCATAATACCATATAATGTAATATAAAATCAATATCAATATATTGACATCAGTATAATAAAAGGTTATTAGACTATGTATTAATTTTTATTACATTTATATAAAAACTACCTGTTTTCTATGACTGGAACATCCACAGCTTGTAAAGTTTTTGGACGTAGACGTGAACCAGGATTTAAAGCACCCCAACCTGCTGCCCAACCAAATTTACCGAGAAAGTCTTCGTTTTTTTCAGGCAAGCAAATCGGCGCTGATGCAATATAAAATAGAAAAATAAATAAAGTTAAAAACTAAAGAAACACAAATTCATGTTATTATATAAAATATTTTATATACATAAAATTTTTATTTTGATTTACCCAAGAGACACATAGAGAATGGAGTCACTATCAAATAGTGGCCCCCATATATCCCACCTTAAATATTTGCAACTATTTTAAACCTCATACATATATGACAGTTTAGCAATAAGAAGATCTGGAAGAACTCACCTATTTAATATACTGACAGGACTTATAACTTGTAAAATATATAAATCTGTATTCCTACATTTTAAAATTTGTTAACAAAATTTACTTAAGAGAATCTCTCAAATATATATATATACTTAGAAAAAAATTTTTTATTTAAAACTTTCTTCTAATTTTCATAAAATTAATATAAATAAGACTATTTACTGTTGACTGTAAAATAATTAAATACGTCCCAAATATATCAAATAGTCAGTTACCTATATGCGGCATGAAATGTACCGGTCTTTCCAATGTAAGCACTGAGACATCAAATCTGTCAGCTTGTGGAGTAAATTTAAAATACGGATGAACATCTATACGACGAACTCCAAATGTATATGCAGGTAATGGTTCAACTGCCGAGTTAATAACATAGTCGCCAAGAGTTACGTGCACCTGTCGTGAAATCGCACGAGCAACACAATGTCCAGCTGTCACCACATGACGTCGCGACACCAATGATCCACCACATCTAAAAATTATAACACAGAAAAAATCAAATATATTTAATTATTGCAAATGTTTATACAAAGATAACTCTTTTTATAGAAATATATTCTTCACTTCTTATTCATCATTTATTTTTTATCTTTCATTTTTAATTTAAGGTAAGCTTAGAACTGACCACCTATAGCTTTTTTTAAACAACATGTCATTGAAACAAAATATATAAAAATAATATCACTTTTTAATCGGGACGTTGTCAAAGTCTCCTTAAATTAAGAATACATTTTAATTAAAAATATCATTTAAATAAAAATACGTACCTAGAAGACCCAATTCGAATGTATGCTTGCCAAGGAAAAGAACCAAATCCCGCGTCGTCTCCACCAACAATTCTTCTCTGGGCAGTTTGTTTGGCTAAAGAGATACCACAACCTGTAAATAAAACGTTAGTAAAAATATTTATATATATAATGAAAGGTTTCAAAATAACAATATATATTTCTTAACATTAACTAATTTTTATTGTTTTTTAAGTTAATTATTTTCAGACTGGTGATATAAAATGATATGCATTCCATTAAAATTATCGGTAAGTAAGTCCATTAATGTAAATATATCAAACTCTTATTTAAAAAATTAGCAATTGCAATCCAGTATTCAAAATATTATTAATATGTAATGATTTTATTTATATATAAATAACATACATAATTGTATACTAGCACTAAAATAAATATATTTTGATACCTACATATCTATATATATATAATCTAATTTGTTTATATACAATAAAATGGGCTTAAGCGCGTTTCAAGTAATGATATTTTCAAATCGTCAATGGCTTTCTGTAATTCTCTGTTTATTTTGTTTATTTCTATATTAACTTTTTTTTATCTTAAAATAGAAATATTCAGCTTTTATTAGGAAAAATTATTTACATGATTTACATGATTTTATTAGAAAACTGTTACTATATAATTTTAAAGTTTAAGAAGATTGGTACGTAAACAGTACCATTGTCAAGGAACTGAAGATCAACTACAAAACTTTTTCAAATCATTCGTGTAAATATGATTTTGAACAATAAAATAGATGTTTCGGTGTCTCATGAATCAAGTGAAAGAATTTAATGTCCCTCTATCTGAAGATTTCTACTAATAAGAAACGAAACGGAGCTGCTTGAGAACTTACGGCTTCACAAAAGCAATATGGATTGACTTCAAGAAAGATGATGTGTAAGTTCATTAAGATAATTCAAATGATCTGTAACGTATGATTCAAGTACATGCTGCCAGCAATTGAAATTATAGAAATAACGAAATATTAAAATATCGAAAATTTAAAACCTCAGTTTATTAATTATTTTTAGATAACTGATGTGAATTGTCTGTAACAACAAAGAATGCAAATCTAATAGTTTTTTAAAAATAAATTCTTATTATTGCTAGATTCTGATTTTATAATGCCTTACAAATTATTTTTATTACTTAGTCTACAAAAAATTAAAACAAGATCATAGGTTGTCATAGTAAGCAATCAAGACAAAGTCCTAGGTACTGTATATGTTTTTACTGTTAAATTACATTAACAGCCTTTCCGCTCTCCTTCTACTTTTGTTTACTTGAATGGGGGTTGCATTCGATGAACGCGGGTCCTATTTTTCACAACCATTCCTAAGAGGTGGTTTAGTGGTTTCAAATCTCACACGGTGGCTTGCAATGCTTCCACCTTCCAGCATAGATGCAAAGTGACAAATATACCCCAAATTGTCTAATGGATTATGAGATTATAAATTTAATTTTTTTCAAATAAGCTGTTAAATTTTTTTCTAGTTCTAAAATTCTTGTACTTAACCTTTTTTTTCAGCGAAAGAAAAGTTATAGAATATTCATTGTTTTGTATCTGGTCTTGAATACAATTTTATTCCACCAAAAATATATACATATGGTATTTATGAACTTTCAAACAAATCAAACTATTAAAATAAAAATATGTTAAATAATTATAAATAAGACTTGCTTATGTATATGGAATATTATGTTATGATGTTTAAATTAAGTTTTCAAAATCATGCAAAAAACTACGAAGAAATTTACGTATACGTGAATTGTTCAGTTTGAGACCACAAAAGAAAAACGCTTTCATGTAAGAAATCATATGATGTAGATATTATCGTATGAATCATATGATATTAAACCTAGCTACAGAAATTTATTATAAAACAAAACAATAAATAATTAGAAAATAAAAAGAAAAGTTTGATTGTGTCTTTAAAGACACTTCAATCCCCCTTCATACAATTCTATCACAAATCATTTATACATTATTGCAGTAACTTAAAAAGCTCTAATAAAACGAATTTTTAGTTTAATTTTTAATTAAATGAGTCTACAAATTTAATATAATAAAAACAGAATTCCTTTACTACGAAGACAAAAGCTAAGAAGACGTTCTCTAAATCGTAAATCGAGCGATGGTAACAATTTTCACCTAATGATATTACTTTGTAAGTGTTAACTAAATCCAAAAATAAAGCTTATTTGTCAAGATATTACGGTTTAAAGCTGTAAAGTTTTTATATTAATAACATTAGCAAAAACTACATACTCCTTCAAGTGCAGACTAATACATGCAATATTAATTTTATACATGCAATTTATATTAATTTCACAACGGGTGGTGGTAAAAACTTCCAACTTTAAAGTCCGATATCTCAAAAACTAAGCTCTATTATTAACATATAATGTTTATTTCAAATAGCTGTCTTTACTTAAATCCGTTGTCAAATGTACTCTCTCAGGATATTGGAATCGTTCTTTTTTTCTAAGAAGTTATTCAGTTCTATGGGAGACACAACCACACTAAAACGATTTACCTATGCAAAACTTATTGAAACTATAGAATTAGTGTCCTCAGTAATCAGTAATCAAATGAATGTAAATTTGATAAGTGCTTATAGAAAAGCAACATGATTTACTCAATTAACTCATGAATTTAAGAGTTAAATATGTCTGAAATAACATCTTCCATTGAAGATGGAATAACTCCAATAATATAAATAGAAATAGATCGAATAACAAAAGTATTGTAATGTCTTTTTTTCATATCGTATTTTAAATAAGATAATGTTAAAAGGTTTATGTACACCAAAATACATTTTAAGTTTATTTTAATCAATATACTTATGCATATCCTGCCATCATCAAAGATATTAACTCAAACTATTCAAGTATTAAAATAGCAGTTATTTTTTTTAATCAAGTACCACAAAAAGTGATTGTTTGTGGTTATATGAAAATTAAGAATTGATAAAGAATTAAAAATCAGAAATTTTTAATTTAATGTACTAAATTTAAAGTTGCACCATGTATTCTGCATTCATACCTTAACATTCGAAATAACAACATATATAGATTAAAACTTAGTGGATTTTATAAGACCATAATGCCACATTGCATAAAGTAATATTTACGAAAAAAATTTAAAATCAAAAGTATATATAGTAGATACAAACGATGGGATTTATATATAGCTATAGAAATTAATATATCCGTCATCCACAGTAGTGAGGGAGCTAGAGTTGGTGTATATGGACCAGGTAAGATATATTCGGAAGCATCGGGAAGAAATATAATTTAAAAAAAAGGTGACTTTAAACGTAACTTCGGAACCGTAGAATTGTAATACTGACTAACAACCAGGCAGCCAGGTGACAGGTGACCAAGTGACATCGAAACTGGTATGGGAGTGCATTGACAAGTTTAACATACTTGGCTACAACAATCAGGTGCACTTATTATGGATTTCGGGACATACTGGCATCCAAGGCAATGAAATGGCAGATAAACTTCCCAGAGGAGGCGTGGCTTCTATTATGATAATGCCAGAACTTTTCTGCGGTCCAGGCAAAGGAACTCTATATATTCATTATTAGGAAAGACTTCCATGACTATCACAATCTAAAATGCTTTTAGAGACTTAATGCCTAAAACGCTTCAAGGATTGCATAGAATAAACAAATAACAGCCTAAGAATTATTACGGAACTACTAACCAATTACTGTAGATTGAATAATCACCTAACAAAGTTAGGAAACGATTTCAACTCAGACTGCAGATACTGTAGAGAAGAGAGAGAAACCAAAAACCATGTACTAGGGCAATGCCCGGCACTGATGCACAAGCGGAAAAAATACGTAGAAGGGTGTTTTATGGAACATAGGGAATTAAGACTAGAAAAGATAAGCCATATACACTCTAAATCCTAGAAACACTAAAATCTAGAAACACTCTAATCCTACTAAGGAGCACAATAGATCATTTAGGTCGCAGTGCTGTATCCTGTTTTCATAATAATAATACTAATAGTCGAAACTTGATTTACCTACATCCAATATATAATTCATGCTAAAATAGATGTAACGAAAAAATGGTTTATTTCGTAATTGTAAGCAAATATTATTTACATATGTTCAAGAAAACTAATATCTATATTTTGTGTCTCCCATATTTTCTTTACAACAAAAATATATACATGAAGATCATTTACCTATGGTATAATTAGATCATTTCAAATAATATTTTTATTAACACTCATAAAATACAGAGAATATAAAAAAAATAAATATATAGTCTCAAACTGAACCCATTTATATTTTCAAATATGTAGACCCTTGACCATTAATAAGAACTAACAATTTGATGCAAACCAAAAAAAAAAAAAAATTGACCACTACTTGTTCGTGCAATTGAATTATGACAAGGTTATACACTCACTAGCATCATTTTTAATTGGTCCATAGTTTTTTAATGGAAGATCAGTTAAGTCGATCGTATCACCTACATAATCCGAAGTAAGCAAATTTATTGACTTTGCTGTTCGATGACAACATCCACGTAGTAATCCATCGCAAGTGCCTTGTAAAAGGCCTCCACTCATCCAACAGGTCAAAAAAAATTCACAAGTTCCACCACGATGTTGGCATTGTAGTTCTGTAGTTATGTCGACTGGGTTATATATGATGAAGAAATACAATTATTGTATTTAAAATAATTGTGTTTATTTGCATAAGCCAACGATGTTTATTATTTATAAACTAATTTTCTAAATAAATTTAGAGTCTATCTTACGTTATATCGCTTATGTTAATTATATTTTATTATAATTTAATTTCACTTAAAATAATAAATTAGTTTGATACATCTTTTCCCTTATGATAGGAAGTCACTTACACTAACACAAACAATATATATACTTATAGTATATAAGTAATTTTCAAGAAACCAATTCTGCAGTTATCCATTTAGAGTTGTTTTGATTACAGCTTGTCGTAACAATCGAAATGATATAAGATATAACATGGATATTCACAAAATTTATATTTTCCTGACTTGATTAAAATAACTTCATATAAAATATAATCAAATTAGAGTCTATTGCAAATCACTATTTCAAAACCTTATTTTCAATTAAATTAAATCACAAAATGTTGTACCTATTACTATATAACTGGTTTAAAATAATTTCGGGATGTATTTTATTAATAACATTTTTGATATATATAACATACATAGAAAATGTATAAAATGTTGAAGTGATGGTAATATGAGATTATTTCATTACAAATCAATTGTTGATGGATAAAATTTGAAATGGGGGTGTGATCCCCCACACTAATATATTAACTATATTTACCACATATTCTCAAAGAAAGAATTCTATTTCGCTTGCCGTGGAATTTTCTGAGTCAATACCATACGAGTGCTATAATATAGAGTAATACTAAATTGTGGTGTATCTAAGCCACAATTTTTTCTATACAAAACTCTTCATCCAAGTCGATTAAATAAGTGATTTAAAAATTATTTACATCTCACCTTTTTCTTTGAATGTATTTGCGGAATGGGGTGTGCTAGTTTCAGTAGCTGAATCCAAATCCTTTAAATTAAATTCGTTTCGCACATCTTGTATAGCAGCTAATTCATTCAAGCCAAAGTTTTGGTCTCTGTAAGAGCAGAGTCATTATCATAAAAAAAGTTTATTAAGAGCACATACCTAAATGCGACATTGTCGTTGAAATAAACACCTATTCCTGTACCTGGTCCAGAGGCAGATCCAGAGCCGGTAGGGCTGGCATTATCATTTGTCGGGAATATTACGCGTGGACTACGGGATGACTTGAATGGAAAGTATCGACTTTTGCGTACGTTTTGAAAATTGTTTAAGCCTACAAACTCATTCAATGCTTTTGTAGGGACAAATTGTCGGGGAGGACCACCCAATATTTCAGCTTCACCAAAAAAATTTATTCGTTTCGAATGCTGAGGCAATGCAGTTATGGGACCATTAACATCACCAAATTTTGTCACGTCTTCATAAAAAATTTTAGCTCCACCATTTGCACTATTTAAAGTATGTGGTTTAGTATTTACACTTTTACCAGGAAATTCAATATTATGTGAAATATGACTGGGGTCAGTTTCGAATATAAGTTGACGTGTGTTTCTAGTTTCTTTATTAGAGGGCATAGAAGAAAAATCATCGTTATATGGATTTTCATATATCGGTATTTCACTTAAAATAGGATTATCTTCACGATATGATTCCGGCTGAAACGAACTCGCACTTTTCAGGCTGTAACTAGGAGAGTGAAAGTCTATTCGTTTACTTAAGTTATCTCCTGAAAAATCTATCCTATCCGATGTTATGATTTTGTCACTGCGCTCAGTTAATTCCGAATTAAGATTTTCATTAGATTCAATTGCGGATTGAAAATTTAAGGAGTTATTGCGTTTGTATTTCAATCCAGTTAAGATTACGTTGTTACTCACATCTGCACTTAAAGGTATATACTTATAATTTCGTTTTCTTCCTACGCGTGTTATATTCTCCGTCCAAACGGGAACTACTTGCTTTGGAATAGTTATGAGTGCGTTAGGAGGTAATTCTACTGCTGGTATAGCTTCCGAAAAGATAGCTGAATAATTATTTGTGGAAGTATCCTGAATGTTGTGGTAATCATTGTGTGCATCCATAACTTTACTGCTTTCAAGCGGACTGTATGGTTTCTGTGCATTATCAAGACTTTCTGAAGTTTTTGTTGTTGAACTTAACCATTGTGATTGAATGTGAGTATTACTGATTGTATCATGAGATATAGTTGAAGGCGGTTTATTGAAAATATTTGTATGTGGTAAGTCCGTAAGTATTTTTGTAGCATGCATTACAGGCACTGAAGTCTCGTAAGCACTTATTCTAATAGATAATATACCAACTACAATTGTATAAAGACTACATTTTACAGTCGCTAACATTTTACATCTGGCTGAGT